ACTAAGCTTTTGCGGTGTCTGATCCTGTGTATCTGCAGTGCGTGAGGCCAGTGTCCTGGGCCACCTAGGGTTTGCACCTGTTCCTCTGGGCTCGTAGGCCTCCAAGAGGGCTTTCTGGAAGAAGTTAGAGCAAGGGTTGGGGAGAGGGTGCCCCCAGTGAATGGAGTGCTGAAGTGGGGCCGACGCCTCCTCAGCCTCCCACCCCTCCACCTTTCCCGAGTCTGATGTCACTGGGTGGGAAAGGGGAGCCCCCATCCCATGTTTATCAGACTGGTTGGGGGCATGGGATGAAGCAGGGGGACGCTTGTGGTCAACCAAGTGCCTGGAGTTCCAGCTGTCACTCATCCGACACGTGTCCGCCATGTGAGGCTGCAGATACAGCCTGAATGAGATGGGGTCGATCCTGCCCTCGTGTGACTCAGTCTAGTGCAATGGTTTCATCTGGGCAAGAATTAGAATCCTTTGAAACCTTGTAAGCCCTTCTTCCCTCCCAGACAGTATAAGCCTGCTCCGGTTACCCACCCAATCTGGAGTATAGGGAAAGCGTTACCCTTTGGCCTTGAGCACGTGTCCTCTCACCTGCTGTGCTGCTGGCATGGTGAGAAGCGGGGTACTACTTGCAGGGGATCCAGAGTGGGGGGACCTAGAACTTTCCCCACTCCCAGACAGGCTGCATCGGTGAATATTTACTGGAGTTAACAAAAAAACAGTTGCCATAGAGTTGACCCTGACTCATGGTGACCCTACATGTGTCAGAGTAGAACTGTACTCTATAGGGTTTTTGGGGACTTTTTGGAAGTAAATTGCCAGGCCTTTCTTCTGAGGCGTCTCTGGGTAGACTCAAACCCCCAACCTTTCAGTTAGCAGCTGAGCATGTTGACCATTTGCACCACCCGGGGGCTCCGCTGGAGTTGACCAAAACCTGTTGCCGTTGAGTCGATTCTGACCCATAGCAACCCTAGAGGACAGAGTGGAACTTCCTGATAGCATTTACAATGAGCGGCTGGTAGATTTGAACTGCTGACCTTTTGGTTAACAGCTGTACCACTTACCCACTGCGTGGCTGTACTTGACAAGGGGTCTGAAATTGCCATCCCCTATTGGAAAGGGCAGCCCCACGACTGTTTAACCTTCTCTGTCCCCGGGATGCCCAGGGTATTCTAGAATGCATCCCTTGAGCAGTTTGCCTCTCCTGGACAGAGCAGAGGGGGACGCAGGCCCTGCAATCTGCATTCTCGGCCAGGACGCGGAGGTGGCTCCCTTGGCCCCATATGTGTTTGAAACTCTGCAGCCGCCAGAGTCAGACTCCATCCACGGCCATGTGTGTGTTTCCTTTTCTCTTAGAGGAAATGACTTTTCCTGTTGAACTTTGTTTAGCTGTACTTCAAGGTGACATTTCTGGTTTTCGGTTAAACATTTAACCTCGTCAGCTAACAGAAAAAGAGCCACCTAAAAGGTATGAACAGTCCCTAGGTGGTGCAAACAGTTAAGTGCTCAGTTGCTAACCGAAAGGTTGGGTGGTTTGAACCCACCCAGTGGCTCCACTGGAGAAAGACCTGGCAATCTGCTCCAGTAAAGATTAAAACACCTGTTGCTGTCCAGTCGGACCAACTCATAGTGACCCCATGTGACAGAGTGGAAACCCATAGGGTTTCCAAGGCTGTAATCTTATGGAAGTAGGTTGCCACATTTTTCTCCAGTGAAGCAGTTCGTGGGTTCAAACCGCCGAGCTGTTAGCAGCTGAGCACTTAACCATTGCACCACAAGTGCTCCTTAAACTCTTTCTTACACATACTAAATTCTTCTCCAAACCCCTTTCAAAAAGCCAGCTGTCCTTTTTCTTCCTAGTGATGTTTGAAGTGATTTTAGGTCACTAACCAGTAGCCAGTTGCTATCGAGTTACCTCCAACTCACGACAACCCCACGTGTAGAGAGTACAACGGTGCTCTCTGCAGGGGTCTCAGTGGCTGGTTTTCTGAGAGTCCAGGAACAGAGAGCAGCAGGTCAGCCACAGTACTCCTCTTGTGAGCTTAGTGGACAGGCAGGCCTGGTACTGTTATCACCCTTATCCAGAATACACAGAATAAACGTGGAGTATTGACCTGCTGCTCTCTGTTCCTAGACCCCAAACCCCAAGGGCAGGAAGGAAGCACCGGAGCGGCAGGGCCTAGAGCGGCAACCTTACAGGCTGTCCCACCTTGGCCAGGCCCTGCCTCGGCTACAAGCCTCCATGAGGGCTGGGCTGCCGAGGAGTCGGTGGGCGAGGGACGGCCACGTGGTCCCAGGAGCCCAGGTTTCTTCTACCTCTTGGTCAATATGCTGCCGGCCAAGCTGGTTTCCGTCGCTGAAGTGGAGTCCTGATTCACCTGTTTTATGAGAGGAGTCCCCACATGGTGTAAACGGTTCACGCGCTCAGCTGCTAACTGAAAGGTTGGCGGTTTGAATTCACCCAGAGGCACCTCAGAAGAAAGACCTGGTGATCTACTTCCAAAAAATCAGCCACTGAGAACCCTATGGAGCACAGTTCTACTCTGACACACAGGGAGTTGCAGTGAGTCGGAATCAACTCCATGGCAACTGGTGGTGGTGGTGGTGGTTTTCTGAGTGGAGAGTGGGCATGAGGTCTCCTTCTGCCTTGGGGACCTCTCTATCCCCGCCCCACTCCCGGCCCTGGCAGCACACGCAGGCCTCTGGTTCCTAGGAGGGGCCTCCAGGGTAGGCCTGCCCTCTGGAGCTGGGGGACTGATAGGGGTGGCAGGTGTGGTCCAGGGGTGGGAGTCCCAACTGGAGGACCCTTGGGGGCTGGGTGGAATCCTGGAGTGCCTTCATTTCAACACCCTTGTTTCTTGGAAGAGGGTGCGTTTCGTCCTGGGTAGCCAGCGCACAGTCTGCTGGTGCCAGGAGCATTGCACTTTCCACTCAAAGCTTCTGGACCCAAATCTCCCCTTCTGGAGGGGTCGGTGGGTGGGAGGTGTGACACCACATGTGTCCCGGAGTCACCGCGTCAGGTGTCAGTGCTGTGGCAAGCAACAGTGTCTCATTGTTTTGTTATTCTCCAATCTTGTCGCCTTTCGAGGTAGCCACAGCTACCACCTCTTTCTGTAGTCAGTTCCCCCAGTTTTATTCTTATGTTAAACAGTTGAGGAATTGGGGTCCCAGAGCTCTGGAGGGTTCCCCAAGCTCCCCACCCCCAGTGGGGCTCTATCTGGGTGTCCCCTCATTATAGAAGGAGGCGCCGCTCCCTCTCACCTGGTTGGGGGCTTCCTTCTCTCCCAGAATCCCTCACTGCCATGCCTCCTCTGGTCCAGGGGTCCTGGTCCCAGAAGCTGGGGGGCAGGCGAGGAGGGTCTGCACAGGGACGTGGTCCTGGCTGAGGAAGGGGCTGGCCGATCCCCTGGGGAGGGGCTGCCAGTGCCCTGTGACGGTGGGCGGGGGTCACATCCTGTGTGTCTTGATGACCTCATGGGGCCCGGGCCTTCGCAGTCCAATTCCCACAGTGGGGTGTGTCAAGGGAAGGCCCAGACCAGACTGTCCTCCCTGGCCCGGCTGGGCTTTTGGGGTGACCGTCCTGGGCCCTAGGGGTGCAGAGGTGTCTGCCTGGCTGGCAGGCATGACCCATGCCCCTCTCATTCCGGAGCGGGGCTGAGCAGTGGCTTCGCGGTGGGCGGGCGGCTCTGTGGGAATGTGCCCTCTGTAAACAGCGGTGACTCACAACATAGCTATGGCCCGGCCCTGGGCGCTGACGTGATCCTGTGAGCTGGAGCCAGCTAAAGGGAAAGTTTCCCAGGGGCTCCTTGTGGCCTCCTGACCTTTGGCCCCAGGCGAGAGGCCACAGGCACCTGCCGGTCCTCTCAAGTGATGATAGGGTTGGCTGACTCCCTGCCAGGTCACCCCACGGCTGCTGCTCCTGTCTGGGGCAGCCTCCCCCTTGGAGGCTCTGTCCTTCCTTCCTGGGCACCCCGGAGCTCCAGGAGCGTCATCCACCCAGGCCTGGGGTAAACACCCCAGTGGGAGCAGCTAATGGGAGGTTTAGAGGAAGGTATGTGGATGGGAGGTGATCACTGTCGTCACTGGAGGGGCCGGGCTTACCTGTGGTCTGGGACATCAAGGGGTGGGGGGCATCCTGGTGACTTCCCAGTCAGGGCGTCTGGAGGGTGGGGTGCTGGAACCCTGTCTCACGTTTGCAGCCTCTGGAAGGGGCTGGTGGGCCTTGATAGAGGGGGGATTTCGGCCCCAGGGACTCACTATCCTCTTCCTGGGGCTACAAGGGGGCGGTTGAGGCAGGGAGGGTGGGTGATGGGTCACCCACCCCTTCCGGCCTCTGCGCAGCTCTGTCTCCTGGGCCGAGGACCCCTTCTCTCCACACGTCCCCCTGACACGCTCTCTGCTTGGTCTCTGTCCTCCCCGTGTTGGGGACATTAGGGACCCCAGTCCCATCAGCCAGGCTGACGGTGTGCCCTCTAGCCTCTCCCCCAGCTACGGGCCATGGATGGGTCTGTTCACCATCTGCCGACCTTGGGTACCCCTTGCAGACGTGACCCGCCATCCTCCTTGTACTGGGCTTCTCTGTCGCCATGGAGACCACAGGGGCTGGCTCCATTCCCAAGGTCACCATGGCAACTATGGGAGGGAGCTGTGCCCAGGACGCTTTGGCTGGGTTTTCATGAATGATTAGAATGTGTGACACAGTGCCGACAAGCGGATGGGGTGGCGGGCGGCGGGGACGCCAGACGGAGCCTCTGGGTGCAGTGAGGCAGCGGCTGCTCCACCGCCGCCCGAGGTCTCGAGCTGCAGCCCTCAAGACCCTTCTGCTGGTGGGGCGGCCTGGCGGTCAGCGCAAGCCCAGCCCACTGGCCTGTACTCCTCAGGGTCACGGTGTACCTGCAGCTGGGGTGCAGGTGGTGATGTGACAGCTGCAGTGCCTAGGGCAGTGGTAGGTGTCTGTGGGCTGGCGGAGGTGGAGGCAGGGCTGGGGCAGGGGCCAGCATCCAGGTGGCCAGGCGGGGGTCTGTTGCAGGGGTGGCAGTGCTCTGGGGAGTGTGGGTGACATTCCAGGAGTGGTACATGGTGGCTGCTTTGCCTCCACGGCGGGCGCCCTGGCTTCCCACATGGCTGGCAGGGCCTTGCACGGAGGAGCCAGGACAGGAAGCAATAATTGCTACGGTGGGGGTCCTACCCCTGGTGCCCCTGCAGGCCTGGCAGGGAGGGGCCTCTGCAAGGGCCGAGGGAGATGGTGCCCTGTCCTGGTGTGGGGCTCTGAGCCGTTGTCAGCGTCGCTGGGCAACACTGGATGGCGCTGAACGTCTCGGGAGTGGACGGCACCTCTGCCTGGGGGCCACTGAGACTGCTGGCCTCGTGCTCCTGGGCCCGCCAGGCTTGTGGGCTGGTTTTGACATTATCTTCCGTGTTTCTCCAGTGACAGTTTCCAAGCAGTTCTGTCCTGGTGACTGTGCCCAGGTTATGACGACTAATCCCAAACCGAACAAGGCGTTAAAGGTGAGGCGGGGGTGGGGCGGGGGTGCTGGTTCTAGATGCCCTGTCACTGCCCGGGGTCCCGGGGTGGGGGGTCAGCCCCAGGGCTACTACCCAGGGTCACAAGTGGGGTCATGGGCGGGGTCAACTGCAGGGTCACTGTCCAGGGTCATAGGGTCACAGGCGGGGTCAGCCCCCAGGGTCACAGTCTAGGATCATGGGTGGGATCACAGGCAGGGTCAGCCCCAGGGTCACTGTCCAGGGCCCCCAGCAGGGTCAGCCCCAGGGTCACTGTCCAGGGCCCCCAGCAGGGTCAGCCCCAGGGTCACTGTCCAGGGCCCCCAGCAGGGTCAGCCCCAGGGTCACTGTCCAGGGTTCCCAGCAGGGTCAGCCCCAGGGTCACTGTCCAGGGTTCCCGGCAGGGTCAGCCCCAGGGTTACTGTCCAGTTCCCCCAGCAGGGTCAGCCCCAGGGTTACCATCCAGGGTCCCAGGCTGTGTCAGCCCCAGCATCATCGGTGGGGTCACAGACTGGATCAGCCCCAGGGTGACTGTCAGTGCCAGCCTTAGGATCATGGATGGGTCTCAGGCAGGCTCAGCCACTGAGCCCAGTCTCTCCCGGGCTGACGATCACCTCCCTTGCTGCTTTTGGAGTATGACTCAGTGAGCCCCGCAGTCAGGCCAGGGGACGACCAGGTGGGGAAGATGTTGTCAAGGAGAGGTGGGTGACCGGTTTGGGGGCCTGACATCTAGGGAGGTGACTCCCAGGCAGAAGGCATGGTGGGGATGCGGCCTGGCTTCTGATGCACTCACCACCTCCTGCTCCTGGGTGTGTGCAGAGCGGCCCCGTGTCTTCCAGAGCCACCCAGCCAGAAGCTGTGAACTTGGGTGCCCCAGGCTTGAGGGCCAGGCTCTGTCTGCACCGAGTGCCGGCCGCATCCCTGTGCCTTCTCAGCCTCTGGGCAGCGAGTGACCGGAGGCTCTCGGGTCTCAGGGCCTGGCAGAGCTGGGGCCAGTGAGAGGCCTCTCTGTGGGCCATGGGTTGTGCCCCTATACCCACCGGTGGGAGGGGAAGGGGTCGCACAGCCCCTGCCTTGTCAGAGCCACGTAAGCGCAGAAGGGTCCCAGGTTGGCACACATGTGGCCTCCATCCTGTTGAGTTTGGGGGACAGACAGCCACCAGGAATCACCACAGCTGGGGGAGCCCCAGGCCTCTTTTCTCGTGACAGCTCATCCTGCCCCCATTTAGAGAATGGCAGCGGGGACTGTGGGTACCGTATCAGGGCCGTCACACCACATGAGCCCACGAGGTCTCTTCTCACTGAGGGAGAGAGGATGGCCTCGTCCAGGCTGACAAGGTTAGCGCTGGGTTCAGTGGGCCCTCTGCCTCTGGCAGCCAGGTCCTCAACCACTGTGATGCTCAGCGTCACTGTGCAGACCCCCAAGTGACCCACAAGGCCCCCGCCCGCCCTGCTCACCCTACACGCAGACCCCAGGTGGCCCGTGGGGCTCCCGTGCCCCACTCACCCCATATATAGGCCCCCAGATGCCCCGTGGGGCCCCTGCCCACCACCTGCCCTGCCCACCCCATTTGCACTGTGCAGACTCCCAGGTGAGCCAGGGGGCCCCTGCTCACCCCACGTGCAGACGCCAGGTGACCCACGGGGCCCCTGCCCACCCAACTCACCTCACATGCGGACCCATAGGTGACCCACGTGCTCCCCCCTCCCCCCACCTAGCTCACCCTTTGTGCCCGCGCAGGTCAAGAAGGAGGCAGGCGAGAACGCGCCGGTGCTCAGTGATGATGAGCTGGTGAGCATGTCGGTGCGGGAGCTGAACCAGCACCTGCGTGGCCTCACCAAGGAGGAGGTGACGCGGCTGAAGCAGCGGCGGCGCACACTCAAGAACCGCGGCTACGCAGCCAGCTGCCGCATCAAGCGGGTGACACAGAAGGAGGAGCTGGAGCGGCAGCGCGTGGAGCTGCAGCAGGAGGTGGAGAAGCTGGCCCGTGAGAACAGCAGCATGCGGCTGGAGCTCGATGCCCTGCGTGCCAAATACGATGCCCTGCAGACCTTCGCCCGCACTGTGGCCCGTGGCCCTGTGGCACCCTCCAAAGTGGCCACCACCAGTGTCATCACCATTGTCAAATCCGCTGAGCTCGCCTCCCCCTCCGTGCCCTTCTCGGCTGCATCCTAGAGCCTGGTTCAGGCGAGGGGATTGGGGGGTGGTGGGCAGGGGCTGGCGGGGTGCTAGAGGCCAGCAAGCTGGAGCACCACACTCGTGTGCCCCCCACGGGGGCCTGTGGCTGTGTCCAGTGGCCACTGACGGATTGTGTGTGTCAGGAATGTGATTGCAAGTGTGGGATGAAGTGATAGGCCCTGTGAATGTGTGTGCCACACTGTCCTCCATGCACATGGACACTCACGTGTGCTCACCTACGTGCCCACACGCACTCACATGTATATTCTTACATGTGCTCACACACACAACACAACCACATGTCCACACCCACCCACGTGCACATACATGTGCACACTCACACGTACACACACATACATGCCCCTCCCCCTTCTGGACCCTGTTGTCACTTCTCCCTGGAAGATGCATCTTTTGGGGGTCTGTCCAGTACCCATGGTCGCTCGCCATGATGTGTAGGTTGGGTACGTGAGCACTCACGCTAGGGCAGTCCCCGCTGCTGGGAGTGACGCTGGAGCCTGGAGCACAGGTGTCTTTGGGGGCAAGATGCAGGGCTCGGTCTTCCCCCCATCACGAGCACCTGCTACGCCCTCTGTCTGTCTCCCCTGCAACGCCCCAGCCCTGGGGAGGAATCCCCTCCCTGACCTGCTCAGTGCCCTGGCCTCCCTGCAGAGCACAGGGCAGCCTGTTCTTCCCTGCACTATTGCAAGACGCACTCACAGCCCTGCTGTATCCAGACGGCTCCTGGCCGCATGAGATAGATGTGGATCAGAGTCCTTGACGGGGCGGGGATTGTGTGTGTGTGCATATGTGCACGTGCCTATGTGCGTGTGGGCTGCGTGTACGTGTGTGTGCGCGCGTGCCCCGTACGTGCATGTGCGCGGCCTGCCTGCTGTCACCCAGCAGTGCAGGGTGGGCCTCGGAGCAGCCGCTTGTATGGAGGGTTCTTCAGGGCGAGGCTCCTGGGTGCATGTGGCAGAGGGTGTCACAGTGTGCTGTGAGGCTGCCCCTCTGCACTCTGGTGGCCCCGGGAAAGAGGTTGGAGTGCTCTCAGCAGTTGGTCCTAAGCAGATCCCTGGCCTTGAGCCCCTCTGTGAATGAGGACATGAGGCTCAGACACGAGAGGGCTTTTGGGGGATGGGCAGGCTGCTGCAGGCCCAAGCTGAGGAGAATGGCCCGGAGGATGCTGGTGAAGGGTGAGGAGAGGCTATTCCATATGGAGTCCTCATCGGCTGGTGATACTTGTGCCTGTGGGTGTGTGTGTGGGGGGTCAATCAGTGGGGGCCGGCTGCCAGAGAAGAGGGTGTAGGGACGACGTGGGGCAGTGGCCACTGACGGGTGCGCTGTGTGGAGGGTTCAAGGAAGTGGGTGGAGGGTGTGGGGAGAGTGAGGAGGACCCGGGGACTTTGCCAGGAAGCCCTAGCGGGTGTGACCCCGGGTTCCAGACTACCAAGAAAATGGAAGACTCTGCAACTTGGTGCTTAATTGTTGCTGAAGCCGTGAACTCATACTTTCTTCCTGGGGCTCCACAAGTTTGGGGACACTTCCTGGGCTTCTTTTCCCGGGGCCAGTGGGAGCGCTCCAGAGGGCCCTCCCTCCACCCCCCCGGCGCTTCCATACTTCCTGACTGGTGCTGCCGGCAAGGTGGGAAGAAAAGATGCCTGTCCGGGAGGAACCCCAACCTGTGGGCAATGGGTTGGGGTGAGTCCCACACAGGCCATAAGCCACCACAGGACTAGTAGAGGGGACCCTGGGCCCCGGCCCCTCAGCTCCTCATACTGCTTGGCCGGGTACCTCCTCTGCCACCACCACCAAATGAGACCCTCGAAAGCTGCCAGGCTCCTGCAAGGGGTGTCCAGATCCCTAAAGGGGTGTCCAGCTCCCTAAAGGGGAGATGGGCCCAGGGGCTGCAACTGTGTCCACCATGGGAAGGTCTCCAGGGCCCCACAGTGGACCACACTGGCCTGCAGTTCTCGAGGAGGGCCTGAGGGCATGGCTGGTACCAGGAGGCCCTGGGTTACTGCAGAGCAAAAGGCCTGGAGGGTTAAAAAAAACAAAACAAAAAAAAGCTGTTGATACCATAGCCGTGGTAGGTAATCCATATTGGATATCAGTAAGGACCATGGGAAATATTTAAAGAGAGAGAAAATATATATATAAAAATTATATACACATTTTATCATACAGATTTTTCGTAACAATTTTTTTTTCAAGTTTGATAGTGTACATCTTCGTTGGAGCAGAGCTGGCTTTTTAAGCAGGGGTGGGGGGTTGGGTGCCCTTCTCCTCCCTGGCCTCCTGCTTGCCCTTCCCAGTGGGGGCCACCACCCCGAACACCTGGCCACCCTGGCAGGGCTCTCCCTGAGGCGGCTGCAGCGGGTGCAAGCTCTCCTGTCCACCCTGGGCTCTTAGGTTCGTGCTGTCCTGGTGTGGGGCGGGGGGCCAGGCAGGGATGAGTGTTGGCTCTGGGGTGTCATTGCCCCCTTCCTGGTCTGGGTGCTGGTGCTGGAGAGGGATCCCAGCGTTTCCAAGCACAGGGTGGAGGGAGCTGCCATCGCCACCAGGGGGCACCTAGGCCCCAGGCTCCCACCGGCAGAGGGGGGCACTGGGGGAGGATGGACTGTACCCCAGGACGCTGCCACCCCTGCCAGGAAAGAAGCCAGTAGCATCTCTTGCGCTTTTCCTTCCAATCATTGAGATTTCATTGTCACGATTTTAATATATGGATTTTTTTTTTTTCTTTTAATTTAAGAACAAAGGCAATGGCCTCTGTAACGTGGGTTTGTTCCCCTTCGTCTGTTGTGCTTCCGACTTCCGGATCCTCTTCACGAAGGCAGACCCTTGCTTCCTAAAAGATAATAGGGCTCTCCCACACACCAAGTCCTCAGCACCTGTTCGTTCTGGCCGCTGTGGCTGCTCAGTAATTTCATTTCAATATTTATTTTTGTGCTGCCTTTTGTTCTAAGTTATTGAGAGCAGGCCCCGTGCTGGGGGCCTGGTCTCCTGGGCCCCCAGTCTCACCACCACCACCTAATTTATTGCTGTACATCTGCTGCCGTGACCGCTTTTGTACCTTTGCAATAAAGAGTTCTGGTTTCAGAGCCTCCTGCTTTGAGGTTGGTGCTTTGGGCTGGGCTTTGTGGGCCAAGGACCCCCATGCCTCTCCCTGATCCCAGTCACTGCCCTTGACGGGAGAGTGGGAATCTGGGTGGGTATACCTGTGAGTGGGCCCCCTAGGCTGTGAGTCGATGTCCTGATAGTCAAAGATGGAGACAGCCTGGTTCCCACCCCCAAGCATCTAGGTGGTGGGCCTCTGTTTTTCAAGGGGTAAGGCCCAGGCAGGAGCCCACTGGGACCCCTGGGCTCAGGCTTCACTGTGCACCACCCTCTTGTGGGAAACGGGGGACTGGCCATCCACTGGGCCATTTTTGCGATGAGAACACTGAGGCCAGCCTGAGTCAGACCACTTGGCAGAAGCAGGGCCTTGCTTGCTCTGCAGCCACTTCTCCTGCCCCCCCATGGGTGTACCCCTCCCCAGGCACGGTCAGGGCAGGGTAGCCAGGTGAGAGCCTGTCCTCAGCTGTCACCCACCCTCCTAGGGTGTGGCACTCAGCCTTGTGGCTTCCCTCTGTTATGTTGGACAGAAATTGGAAGGGAGGAAGGGCCATCTGTCCATGAGGTGTCACTGGAGGAGCATGCCTCGGGGGTGGCCACCTTGCCCAAGGCCAGCCTAGCCCTCTGCTGGGCTCTGTGACCTCGGGCCAGGCCCCCTCCCCAGGACTAGTATGATGGTTAGTGAGGTCGAGTGTGGGCGATTCCTGGGACTGTTCTTGGCACGGGTTGGTCAATGCCAGTTGCCCAAGGCCTTGAGGTGGTGCTGGGCCGGGTGCTCCGATCTCAAAGTCCATGCCCTTTGGCCTGCTTAAAGGAGCGGCACAGCTGACTGACTGGTTGTCAACCCCCCACGCCACAGGGTGGAAAGGGACACTCCCTTCCCCAAGCCCCAAAGACCCAGAGTACCAGGCCTTTCTCGACCACCCCACGTAAACCTGTTACTCAGGCCCCAACCCTGCAGAAACAAGCCACACACGCTGTTAGAAAGCAGGCCGTTTATACATGAATAAGCACTGTTACCTGGAAGCACTGCCCTGGATACAAAAATGGGCCCCTTCCAGACCCACGTCGTCCACCCCTCCCTGGGTGGGAGGCTACCAGGGCTCCAGAGCATGTGGTGCAGTGGGGCTTCCTTTGCTTGGCCCTCAGCGGTCACAGCAGGGCCAGCGTCCAGCTCCCACATTTCCCAGGACAGCCTGCACCTCCGGGCTCTCCCCTGTCCTCTGCAGCTGCCCTGCCTGGAGTCTGTCTGCTCCACTCACTGCAATAAGCAACCAACTCCCAGCTCTAGTGCAGCCCAGGGGGCTGCAGGGGTTGCTGTGTGAGGGACAAAGGGCCAGGCCAGCTCTTGGCCCCACAGTGATCACCTGGCGCTGATGGCCGGGGGAGCCCAGTGGTCCCCTGGCTGATGGATTTGCTTCCATGCCTCTCCTGGACTGTGGTCCCTCCAAACAGACATCCGGCCCCTAGGGGCCCCCGGCTGGCGGTAGGCTCAGGAGTTGGCCTTTGGCAAGAGGGTGGCGGGGGGGGGGTGGCCCCTCCTCCCGGAGACCCCCTATAGATCCTCAGCGGGGATCAACATCGTCTTCTCCACACCGCGGCTCCTCCTGCCCCCATCCATTGGGCCAGCGTGGGGGCCGGGCCCTGGGACCTCTTGAGTGGCCTGCTGCGTGTACTGCTGGTAGGTGGGTGAGAAGTTGTGGATAGCATCCTGCACGATGTCCTGGGGGCTCATGGTCTCCTTGAGGCCACTGGAGATGCTTACCATGGGGGCCGGGGACACTGCAGGTGGACAGTACGGCAGTCAGTGGCAGCCACTGAATTCAGGGTGCCCCTGGACGTGGGGGCCACCCTAGCTCCTCAGCCTCAGCCCTCAGGCACTGGTCTCCCAGGGCCCCAGGCTGGATCCCCCCTTCCCTCTAGCCTGGGGGGCCCTGCCACCCTTGGCCTCTCCAAGTTGGCAGATGCCCAGCAGGTCATTCACTGGACCCGGCTGCCAGCCCTGGCTTTCCAGTTGGTCTGGTCCATCGTCAGTGTGGCAGCAGCTGCCTGTCCAGGCGCCAATGACCCAACTGCTTAGGGGCCCTTGGGCTCTGACCCCTCCTCACTGTCTACCTCAGCTTTGTGCTGCCAACCTGCCTGGCTGGCTGCCCTGGACCCTTCACCTGCGGATCTCCTGCCTCAAGTCCACCCACCCAATGCTGGAAAGCCAACACAGGGCTAGGCAGGATGCCCCTGGGACGGTCACCCGTCCATCTAGTTGATATTCCCTGGGCTCCGGAAAACTGGCCCATGGCTTCCCCAGGCATTGAGTGCGTTGATGGGGGCCAGCGAGGTGTGGTGCTGAGGAGGCGAGTGACTGCCCCCCTTCTTGCCCCCATTACAAGCCACCCTTCCCTGCGCCCCTCCATCACAGACTGCCCCTCCCTCCCGCATTACTCACCTGGCCTGTCTCCATCATAGGCCACACCTCCCTCCCCTGTAAAGAGCCATCCCTGCCTGCCGCCCATCATGGTCCACTCCTCCCCCCATCACAGGCTCCTCCCTGCCCCCGTCACGGCTGCCCCCCGCCCCCCCAAGTCCCTGGCTGGCCTCCCCAGGTACCTGGTGAGTTCTCCTTTTTCTCTGAGTACACCTGGCAGGTAAAAGCGTAGCGCAGGGCGATGGAGGCGAACAGCATCTCAATGCAGATGATGAAGTTCTGGTAGCCGGCGGCCAGTGTGCCTGCACCCACCCCGATGGCCTGCACCTCAGGGATAACCTCGCACTTCTCAAGGATGGCCAGCAGCATCCCTGAGGGAGGGGTGGTTACTCAGAGGAGGCTGGAATGGGACTGACCCCAGCCAAGGCCCCCACCCCGGCTCCTGCCCAGCTGCTTCAGGGCGGCACCCCCACCCTGCAGGGTCTGCAGGGCCCTGGAACATCAGGCTCATGTGCTCCTACTCCACAGAGGGGAGTTGAAAGACAGAGGGATGGGCACCCTAAAGCCGAGGTCCTGACCCAGCAGATGCCCAGAGCTTCCGCAGGACTCACCCTCGCCCCCCTGAACTGCCCAGCGGCCTTCCTCATCTGTAGAACAGGCATTGTGTGTTCACACCTGGCCTGGGCTGGCAGGAATGGGCTTGCGACGGTCGCATCACCTCCTCCACCTCCACCCCCACCTGCCTTCACCCACCGACCACAGGCAGACGTTTGGGGGGCACTCCCACTCGCCCAGCACAGTGGGGCTGCAAGACTGGCCTGCGCTGCAGCGGGGAACCCCTGCCCTGCCACACCCACCCTGCCAGAAGGAGAGGAAGATGACAGCCTTGATGGTGAGGAACTTGAGGACGGGCTCGAAGGGGCGCAGCAGCTCGCGGGTGGCGAAGTAGAAGAGGCAGAGCGCGTAGAGGGCCAGGCTAACGGACACGTTGTAGACCAGTGTGATGTACAGGTAGCCGCTGCGGATGCTGGGGGGCGGGGTGGCAACTGGGTCAGGTGGCTGTGCCCCTGCTGCCCTCCCCACCCCACACCAGCGGCATCACCTGCTGCCCAGTGACCGCTTTCCCTCCACCCTCTGAGCTGGGGCAGTCGGTGCTGGGTCCCCCCTTAGGGCCCAGGCCTTACTTGAAGTCCCCGTCATGGTATTTGCCGAAAGCCTGCAGGACAATGGTGAGGGCAGCCATGGCGGGCTTCACGATGCAGAACTGCAGGGTGGC